CACTTGAAATAAGGAGATATGTTTCCTCTCAAAAAAAAAAGGAGATATGTTTTGATTTGTGAACTGCTATTCTACGCTCCCAATTTACATGGTGACGCTCCCATTTAAATATGAAATTACCGTTTTGCCCTTGCGTTAATTTGACCTATATAAGGCTCCACCCCTTTGTCACATAGTATACCGAGCTGTTTAATATTATTCCCGAGGTTTTTGAGCCGAGCAACTTGCCTTTAAAAAATCCCGAGTCCCAAAATTCCCGGGCCCACCTCCAAAAGTATTAAATTTTTGTATAAAAAATTTATCAAGGATTAGCGACGGGTTTTGGACAATGAACGACGATGACGTACGCCGGAGGCATCTTTGGAAGAATCTGTAAGTCGGAAATTTTTTTTTTTTTTTGGAAAAGGGACATCCGCCCAAAATTTCCGGAAGGTCTATAGAGGATCCGCCTAATATTTCCGGATCCTCCGTGGAAGATCCGGAAATTTCAGGCGAATATATAGATCCGGAAATATTAGGCGGATCCTCCATGGACCTTCCGGAAATTTTGGGCGAAAGTCCCTTTTCCAAATATTTTTTTTTTTTTTTTGTTTTGTTGTTGATTAATATTATTATTTTTACTATTATGATTATTATATTTTTTTGTTCTGATTATTATGATTATTATTATTATTATTATTATTATTATTATTATTATTATTATTATTATTTTTGTTATGATATTATTATTATTATTATTATTTAGTATTATTATGATTATTGTTGTTGTTGTTGTTATTATTATTGTTATTGTTATTATTATTCGTTTTTTTTGTTAGTAGTAGTTTATGTAATTGTTATTAATATTGTTATTATTGTTATTGTTAGTTATTAATGTAAGTATTAGTTTATGTTAATGAGTTAAAAATTAGTCAATGTTAGTGTTAGTTTATGTTAGTTAATATTGTCATATTAGTTAATGTTAGTGTTAGTTGATGTTAGTTAATATTAGTTAATGTTATGATATTATTATTATTATTATTATTATTATTATTATTATTATTATTATTATGATTATTATTATTGTTATTATTATTATTATTATTATTATTATTATTATTATTGTTCTTTTAAAAATATTGGTGTTTTTATTTTTAAAGGATTCGCAGTTTGAAGAAGGCGGTGACGGTGTGATTACAGTGCGAATTTTGTCACAGATACGTTTTTTTGAACGTTTGATGATGCAGTTCAATGGGCGGATGCTGTTGCCATAAATCTGGGATTTATTTTGGTCAAATCGTCTTACAACAAAACTAGGGATGGTAGGCAGTATCGGTATTTGAGATGTGTGTTAGGTTTTTCAAGAAATTCTAGAACAAGAACTACTTTAACAAGTGTGGGAACAAAACTAAAACATGTATAATTAATATTAAATTATACAATTATCCAAATACAATTCAATGTATTACAACCAAACACCAAAATATCAATGTATTTCAGAAATTACAATGAAAAACACTAGTTGTGAAAGATAATGTACTTGCCTCTACTCCAAGCTTTAACAATCTACATGAACATGAGAAATCGGTGACCACTTGAGTCTCAATCCTTGATACACTGACTTAGGCGTATGAATACATTCCTAAAGAGTTTAAGTTCCCCCACAATGGTGCTTGGGTATGATCCGGAAATACTCTTTGAGATACAAAAGTCAGCCCAACGTTCTTTGCACTAAGAATCGATGAAAGATGATCAAAACACTAAGAAGGATTAATTGGAAGAGATTTCTCACAAAAGTTTGCAAGAAGTTTGTGAGGAATTGTGAAGAATACTTTTGGAGAGAAGAAGAATAATTCTGTATCTTCGAATCTATTCATTAAGCCTTTTATTAAAGACTTAATAACCGTCAGAATTTCGCGAAATCAGGACTGGCGCGGGCGCTCCACCTGGAGGCGCGGGCGCGCCCCAAAGTGGCGCGGGCGCTCCTAATCAGGAGCGGGCGCGCCTCTCCTGTACTTCCGAAATTCAACAAAGGAGGCAGAAGGGGGCGCGGTTTAGGCGCGACCCAAGCGCGGGCGCGCCACTTGGACGCGCGGGCGCGCCAACTTTCTCCTTTCAAACCTTCAGATTCCAGTGAGGTCCACGGTTTAGGCGCGACCTCGGCGCGGCCGCGCTTACCCAGCGCGGGCGCTACTCATGGTTCGCGAGCGCGCAACCATCAACACTCTAAATCTTCCAACAATGTTATCGGGGACGTAGGAGCAAGCCGAGAGATCTTGAGAACGCAATTCGGAAGGACACTAAAACCAAAGCCAATGGTTGTCCTTTCTACATCAAGATATATGACGAGTTCGTCACCGACAGTTAGAAGATCCGGGCAAAAAATGATGCAACTGGGACCCATAACCATCCAATGATTGTGTATCAGGAGGGGCATCGTAAAATTAGTGGGTTAAGCCCGGATGCGAAGAAGGTTGTGCGTGACATGACGAAGTCTAAGGTGGCACCGCGTAACATCATGGCGACTATTGCCGAGCAATTTCCTGATGATCATCCAAACATCAGACACATCTACAACTGCCGGAATGACTTGAGAACGGAGATGTCTGATGGAAGAGGAGTAGTTCAGCAATTTCTACATTTGGCGAGACACAGTTAGTATCTATACTGGGTCATGTCTGATGATGTAGGCGTTTTACAGCACGCCTTTATGGTGCACCCTGTCACGGTAGACATACTACGGACGTACCCATATGTGATCGGTATGGATTCCACTTACAAGACCAACCGATACGGGATGCCGTTCTTTGAGATAGTAGGTGTGACACCGACAAATCAGAATTTCCTCGTCGGTTACGTGTTCATGCGTAACGAGTTCACGGCAAGCTATCGATGGGTTCTGCAGAGACTGAGAGACTTGACTGGGTATGATAGGGAACCGTCAGTTTTTTTGACAGACCGTGAGCTTGGGCTATGTGCGGCATTGAGAGAAGTGTTTCCAGGGACCCCGCACTTACTTTGTCGATGGCACATTAACAAAGATGTGGAGGCTCGGGTCACTGATATGTTCAAAAATAAGAAGATCGGTGCGAGTTTCAAAAACGGGAAATGGAAACGTATCATGGATGCTGCAACCGAGGAGGATTATAATGCTGCTGTACAAAAAATGAAAGATCGGTGGGCAAGTTATCCAGCGGTGATACAATATGTAGAGAGAACGTGGCTTTGTCATAAAACCAAGTTTGTGACTTTTTGGACAAACCAAGTTCTGCATTTTGGCAACACCAGCACTTGCAGAGTTGAGAGCCAACATTCGGCCGTGAAGATGTGGTTTGAATCTTCGACAGGTTCGTTGTTTGGACTTTGCTGTAGTTATTAATTAATATTAATATTTATATTATTATGATTATTATTTTTTTTGTTATGATTATTATGATTATTATTATTATTGTTATGATTTTGATTATTATTATTAGCGTTATTATAATTATAATAATAATTATTATTATTATGATTATTGTTGTTGTTGTTGTTATTATTGTTATTATTATGATTATCACTCCCGACGGTTTTTTGTAATGTGCAGGTTCTTTGGATACCGTATGGGCCCGAGTTCATCGCCACATTGGTAATCAGATCATCGCCATTCGTAATGGTTTGGAGGAGTCTAGGTCGAAGATTGGTCAGAAGTACCGACAATTGCCACTGTCACGTATTTAACGACAAGGTGTCTCAGCATTGTTTGAAGGTTCTCGACGATGAGACAAAACGGATGAGGGAGCTGAGTTATCAGGTGTATGAGCGATGTGGATGTGCAATGCGTGTGACTCACGGTTTGCCGTGTGCTTTCCAGATACATGATTCTCTAGCTGCCGAGACAGGCTTGTATACCAGGCAAATTCACTCGTTCTGGAACAATGATGCAAGACGTGATCCTTGTTATTTCGAAACATGTCAACCGTCGAAACACTCAACGTGGTCCGCAGCAAACAGGTAAGATTGGCTATTTTGATTTTCACGTATTTTAACATTTACTGTACTAATAGCTGAACTCTAATTTCGTGCAGAAGATCCATGTGACATCAGCCAAAGCCGGTATCGACACTTGCTTCCAGGACCGATATTGCCTTACATCACAGGATGGAAGGATGTCATTGGCGATGGTAACTGCGGCTTTCGTTGTGTGGCCGACTTCTTCTTCGGTGATCAAGGGCAATGGTATGACGCTCGAGAAACAATAGATAACGAGGTCCTCGGTTATCCAGTCCTGTACGAAAGGATTTACGGGCTTAGAAGGCTTGGGATGAATGTCGAGCGTATTCGATGGGACAATGGGGCGGTTGATTCCTGTCATTGGATGGTTGCAATTCAAGATTTATTTCCTATTGCTACTTGGTTCAACGCAATGGTTCTTGGTGTAGGCCACGTACCAACCTGCTACTACCCATGCCTCACGATCTTGCCGTTGCAGGCACGAAGGACGGTCACTGCACCTGCCCGAGAGTTTGTGATTGCTACAGTTGGGGGCTCACATTTTATCCGTATTGATCTTGCACCAGATTCACCACTTCCCCCGATTGCAGGTTGGTGGACCAAGCACCACAAGCCAAGTGTTGACGGTTGGGATCAGCGTTATGCAGTTAGACGGAACATGTGGGATGCGTTAATTAGATAGCAAACTCATTTATGTACATTCATTTATGGTGAACAGTTGTAGATATGTAATATGTAAATCATTTTTGTTATTAACATTCTTGTTATTAACTCAATAACATGAACATAAACATAAACTCTTTAACATAAAAATAATAATATTTTTTTTTTATTAACTCATTAACATAAACTAATAATAATAACAATAATAACAACAACAATAATAATCATAAATATAATAATAATAATAATCATAAAAATCATAATAATCATAATAATAAAAATAATAAAAATCAATGAACTAAAACAATCCATGTTTGCTAATATAAAACTAAAAGACAAGTACTTCACAACCCCATCATCGCCTTCTAGTCAGCTGTCAGTTGCTCAGTCATTGCCCTCGTTTCACGCATCATGCTGGGATACTCATCCAGTGATCTCTGGTGAATCTCCAAGGACCGACCCATCCACTGCAAGTAACAGAACAACATATTAGTTACAGAAATTACAATTTGTTTAAGTAATATTTACAGTATAATAAAAGACAACTACTTACATAGTCCGTGTTAGTCCTCTCAGGAAGTCTGCTACTCCCATCTAATGACCCACCAGGAGAAAGACGAGGATGAGAAAATCGGTACAGCCACTGCATGTAACCAGGAGCGACCGTAGCACCTCCACCACTGAGTCTGGTGAGGGCACCTAAAACAATACTGAAAGACGAGCCAGGGACAAACGAGTCCACATCACAGATGTCATCTCAGTCGGAAAGTCAACCCGATACATCTTCAGGTTCGTCGGTCTCTTGGCCTTCTCAGGTCTGGTAATGGTCCTCCTGCACGAATCCAAGCTGTCGGACCACTCGATCAGACATGTATGGCTCAATGATACTCCGTTACTAGATGCAACCAATGAATAGAGTGGCTGGCACGCGTCGAGCGGGATCAACTTCGTACGGTAGCCAGTTAACCTCATTATCGGTCAACTGATCCAATCGAGCACGAAAAGCGAGGAGGCGCTCCATGCTCTTGTTCGGGCACCCCGATCCCACATCCCAAGCACACGCACGAGGAATACTAAGCTCCCTCGTCAAGGTACCCTGCTGAGGCCGGAAACACGGAAAGTACTCGTAGATCCACGCCTGCAGAAGCGTGAGACAACCAGCGATTGAATCGACATCTTTTCTTGATGTCGTACCCAACTGGCGATACAAATATGCCAGAGCAGCTGAACCCCAAGAGTAGTCACTAATCTGCAGCTCCTCAACAACAAGCTCGTTGAGGAAGGAAGGATGAGTGCGGTTACCACTCTTGTCCAAAAACAGACATCCGCCCAGTACTAACCACATGTAGGCACTGTAATGGAGACTGAAGGGCCTCTGCTCCTCCAAGGTCGAGTCCATAATCCTCTCGGTCAGCACCCCACTACCCTGCCAAATGGTCTTCGTACCGCACTTCTCGTTCAGCTCTTCCGCAGTCATGTCCAGGGTAACCTGGCACGCGTCCCGTATGACGTCCGTGCTAGGAGTAGTGGAAACCATGGAACCATCAACACGAAGCCCAAGAATATGGTACACATCGTGCAGCATGATCGTGATCTCCCCAAATGGCATATGAAAGGTGTTCGTATCTGGCTGCCATCTCTCAACAAACGCAGAAATCAACGGCCAATCAAAACGCCTAAACATGATCCCTCGTAAGTGAGACAGACCACTACCGTCAATCAGCTCCAGATGCTCCTGTGCAAGACGACCTCGCCAGGTAACCAATGCAGAACACAACTGTGTCCTGCTCAAACAGCGCAAAACATTGCGCTCCTGCCCGCCCCAAATATATGCAGCCATGTGACCACCAAAACTGGGGATAACAGTACCATCCTCAGGACCACCTAGCATCGGCTGCTACACTACCCATGTCTCTACTGAGCTGGTGGAAGGCTGAATCGCTTGACTGCTACTCACAAATCTCCCTTTTTGACCCCTATGCACCGTATGATAATCAACTGGGTCGTACTCTTCATCTCGATCAGCCTGACTTGCCCGCTCATCATCCTCCTCGTCAAATGTCGGCACTTGGCCCGACGAGTACATGGGGGGGCTCCCTTGCGACTGATGCTCCCTCGACCAAGTACCAGCATACCCATATTGCTGCTCATGATGATACGGTGCCCCCATATTAACCGAACGACCCGACTCCCTCCTAATAGACGCATTCAAACGTCTTGATACTGCATGACGAGGACCCGAACCCTCAATCTACATTAAATAAATACAAAATCAAATATCAGTAATAATTACAAATATAACTATGATATTAAAGTTGAACAACTAATATTCAAATTCAAAAAAAAAAAAAAAATTAAACAATAATAAACCAAATCAAATAAACGATAATAGCAACATTACTAGGGATCAATAATAACTACTAATAATTTGAAAACAATAATAAACCAAATCAAAACAATAATAAACCAAAAAATCGGCAACATTACAACACAACAACAACAACAACAACAACAACAACAACAATAATAACAATGGTAATAACAACAACAATAATAATTTCAATCAATTTTTTATAAAATTTTAATCACGAAAAAATTACATAACAACAATACATAACAATAACAATAAAAAAAATTATATTAGTAAAAAAAAAAATACATATCAATAATCACGATATTAAAAAAATTCCAAAATTAATAAAAAAACATAATACATAACAATAACAATAAAAAAAATTATATTAGTCAAAAAAAAAATTACATATCAATAATCACGAGGAAACAAAAATTCCAAAATTAATAAAAAACATATACATAACAAATAAAAATTAAAAAAAAAAATTATATTACTCAAAAAAAAAAAACACGATAAACAAAAAAAAAAAAAATCGGAAACTCAAACTTCCGCCTGAAAAATCCGGAAGTTCCCCCAGACTTTCGGAATTCAAAAAAGGGTCAGATTCCCGAAAGATGAATCCACGAAATTTTATTTATTTATTTTTTTTTTTCAAATTCAAAAAAAAAAAAAAAACCAGACCCATACCTGCTCGCCGCCACTGATGCCGCCCCCACGACCACCGTATGTCACTCTTATGCGTTGCCGGTCCGCCATAGCCGGATTCAACCTTGAATGGGTGGTGTTCGTTGGTGTTTGGGTGATTTTGAGATGTTGGGGTTTTTTTAAAAAAAAAATCTGATTTTTTTTTTTGAATTTAAAAAAAATTCTGATTTTTTTTTTTTGAATTTCTGACTTTTTTATTTTTTTTAGATTGAGAAAATTTTAGAGAGAGAGAATGTTGGTAGTGAAATGACTTGTAAGTTTCGTAAGTTAGTTTCGCGAGTATTTATATACGAGGGGCAAATTAGGAAATTCAAGTAAAATTTGCGAGCGCCGCTATGTAATTTGCGAGCGACGTTTAACAACACCCTTTTAATAAGGTATGATATGGTCTGATTTAAAATTTTATTATCTTGTCTGATCTGACTTATTAATTTGACTAAACTTTAACCTTATTTTAATACTAATCCATAAAGAAAAACATCATCACATTGGATCTTGTTAGATCGTCTCATCATGTACTATTCAAGTATGTAATTTTCATAATTTTTTAATTCACTATTAACGATATTTAGCAATAAGCAAATCATAATTAAAAGTTTTGATCTGATTTGAATGTTTCAGGTCTGATATGAATTTATTAAGGCCCTGTTCACTTCACCTTAAAAAAAAAATTCAGTAAAATTAATTTCAGTTCAGCAAAAATAAGTTCAGTTCAATAAAAATAATTTCACTTCAGTAAAAATCAGTAATTTTAAAGAAGAATTATAACATAAAATCAGAAAAAATAATTTGAGTTCAGCAAAAATAATTTCAGTTCAACAAAATTAATTTCAGTTCAGTAACAATAATTTAGATTCAACAAAAATAATTACAATTCATTAAAAATAGTTTCAGTTCAGCAAAATAAGGTTAAGTGAACGAGGCCTAAGTAATAAGTACCTGAAACAAGTTGAAGACAACAAGTCCTTAAATTAGGGATTATGAGGACATTACCACCGACAACCTCATTAGTAAAAGTAAAAACGATGCATACTTGGACGAAGAGCGGTCATCTTTAAGTTAGTACTAGGGTAAATTCAAGTTTCTCTCTAAGATAAATATGTGAATATATCTCCTCTCACAACTTAATCATTTTCTTTTATTTTTTAAATGATAAAAATAATATAGTAAAGTGGCACATAAATAAATGCATAAAGTTGTGAAAGGAGATAAATTGAAATGTTAATATTTAAGATTAACTTGGGCTCCCAATTTTATTTTATTTAAAAAAAAAAGGAAAAAAAAAATTATTGGTGATTTTTTTTTTTGTTTTTATTAAATTAGCAGTGCTACTATATGGGTATTGCTTTTATTATAAATTATAATTAATAGTAATACTATTGGTTATTATTTTTTTTTTTCCCAAAAGTGATGCATGACTGTATGCTTACAATTTTTAGAAACATAAATATTAAAATCCTTATTTAAATTGCCGTAACTTGGAATTGTTGCTTTTTGAGCTTCTCCTCCAATTTCCACATCTATTTAATTAATCTTGAATTGTCTTTTAACATCCTCATCTTATGATTTGTTACTATTTTTTTCTCAATTTGTTTGTTGTTGCTCCATGTGCCCCTTGCACCACCTGAAAAAATCACAAGTGTCACATTTGTAATATAATCAATCTAAATTTTTCACTATCTCAAAGCTTTAAGTTCCACATTTATTTTTTTACAAGTTGGACAAGAATGTATATAAACTTAAAAATTGATGATGCTGGTATGAAGATAATTTGATAAGTAAGGAAGTTAAACGAAATCAATTATGTTATAGGACATTATAAGAGAAAAAGGAGAAGAAACGTTAGTTGATTTGATATAACTGACGATTATGCGTGATCCTTTGGTATTATATAGAATATAGGGTGTTTGATAGCATTACTTACTGTGTTTGATATATTCAAGTCTATTTTGGGTTACCAACATTGATTGTATCCAATGTCATACTTGGCGATTTCTTAATCTTTTCTAACTCTGAATTATACATAATTGTTCATCATCTATTTCAATTGACACTATTCATTATATTTTCAAACCATTACTTCTATCTAAAATGTTCAACTCTTAGTGGTCAACACCAACATAACATCGTAGGCGGCTAGTTTTACCGCCTTCATTTCCAAACTTAATCTATATTATAAAAAAATAAAAAATTATATTACGTTGATGAAATTTAGAACAACCCTTCTTTATTTATGAAAATAAAAATCTTTGAAAACTAATCAACTAGAAAAACTCGAGTACGGCTAACCAAAAAACCAATGCATGATTTTTATCGAAAAACCCAGAAATATTAACTGGAAAAGGGTCTGAGAGAGAAAATAAGAGAACATAAGAAAATGATTGAGAATATTTATGTTGCGACGAGAGAATTAGAGTTTTACATAGCCTATAATTACGGCGTCGGGCAATATGTAGTGATCAGATTAAAGGAGAGAGTAATTAACAAAAACCATATTCTTAATTAATAAAACTAATTTCTAATAATATTAATTTTAAAAAGTATATATTTTAAAATTCTAAAGATTATAAAAAATTGATTTTTAATTTGTACTTCTATAAAATCAAACAAGTGTATGTAAATATCAACTTTAATATTCTAGTTGGGGCATAGAACTGAGTCACCGAAACAATTTTACTTTTACATGTACTTTCTCTTTTTCAAAAACTTTTGTATACACCCGGTTTACACTAATTTTATTGTACATCGAGCAGTATAAGGGTAATTTTTACCAAATTTTAGGGTAACTTTTTGCTTTTTTTGGGGTAACTTTTAACATAATACAATTTTTATATAAATAGACAATAAGAAAAGTTATATAATGGTAATTTAATTACATTTAATCACAAATAATTGATTTTTAGTCATTTAAAATGTGATTCTTTACTAATAATTTTTATTTGTATTGGATTACTTTTATGCATATTAGGGTAACTTTTATTTATTTTAGGGGTAACTTTTGATCAATCTAGTCTATCTTTATAGTGGATGTACAATAATTATTGTACACCCGATTTTTTTAAAAGTTTGTATCTCCTTTTTTAGTTGCATCATTTTACAAAAAACAAGATAAATGAAAACCGATATGATGTGACACATAGAAGGAATTTATTAATTAAAAAACAAAAAGTGACATATCTAATTTAAAACTTCAATGTTTCCACATTTCATCTCAAAATAGTTCAAAAAATAAATTAATGAATAAATATAATAATAAAAACTTGATCCAATACCAAATAAAATATTTTCAATTTGGATAATGCACTATCTATAGTATATGATTTACTATAAAATAACATGTACATTGTCTTGCTGAACATGGTTTTCCCTAAGCCATAGTGATTTCTTGAATGGGGTGTTGTTTTAAAGAATAAGAACACCCTTGGTAACAAATACTGTATATATATTTGACTGTACAAGTCGATATACATTATGGCCTATGATTTTCCCAAATGTATATACACATGATAGCAACAGATCGACAGGCAGTGGTTCTCCCGCCCCAGCAACAATGAAATGAAATTCACCGGAGAAGTTCAGGAAAATTCTGTGATTTCTGTGACAGTGTGGCCACTGGCCAATAGATAGATGAAACTAAGAATAATTTAATTAGGGGGAGTATATATCTTCGGTATGAGTAATGGGCACATATGATGCTTCCAACAGTAAGCTGTGTGTTCGGCCATAGAAGAGGTAAAGTAAAGCTCCTAGAAGCAGCCATACTGAAACACGAATCCAAGTCCCGATGCTGCCAAAAGTGAAATTAAAGTCAGTTCCCTCATAAGCATCTG